CACTAAATGCATGGCAGCATTTAGTCATTCAGACATCGTGAAGACAATCTAATGAAGTTCCAAGCATTAAAATAGAAAAAATGGGGATTCAGTTCATTGTTAAGTAATGGTTGCTATTGGTTGTTCTGAATGTTTCAGAGACTATGAGTGTGTTGATACTTCCCCATCATTTGAGTTTACAAAGAAAGCTCCCAACAAAAGTTGTATGGACAAAAGAATCCTGACGTCAAAAGTCAGGACAATCGCCATGCTCATACCAGATGATGAAAAGGGGACAGAAGCTCAAACAACCACTTGTTACATCCGAGGTATGCAGAACAGTCAGCATGCGAAAATGGATCACACCAAGCACAGACTGGTGTGATCAGTGGCAAATTTCACTTTGAGAATTTAAAAGGAAAACTAAGTTATACTTGTTGAAGAAAGAACCATAAAGATTTACATGAATTTCCCCTGCAGGTAATATTCACAAAAAATTATTAGATTTTAGATATGTGTTGCAGTTATAAGGGGACATCAGGACAAACATAAAAATGCAAATAGTCCTCTTCAGAACTCTAATACATTTTGAAACATAAACAGTGGTAGAAACCGTTTAAACTTAAGCATGTGATGTAGTGACTGAATATTTCCCACAAAAAAGGAAATTAAAGTGACGACATCCTATCTTGGCACGTATTACTATGAATTATACTTTTCTAAATCAAAATTACAAGATCTAAAGATTTCAATTTGCAACCTAGGTAGTCAAATAATTAGCAAAAATAAACAGAAAGTAAGTCATTCTGTCAGTTTCACTTTCATTTGAATTCATCTGAAAGCATTTCTTCATTAGCATAGACAGCATTTGCGGAGTGATGCATGAGATTAAGTTGTATTTTTAATAGGCAATTGTTGTAGTGTTTCAGTAGCAGTTGTTGCTGTAGCAGCACAAAGCCAATAAACTAATAATCAGTTATAATTAGTGAAGTGTAGCATGATAAAGCAATTTTGCAAAAATGGGTCTTCATACAGAAGAAGCAATTAATACTCAAGGTATAATAACTTACAGTCTATTAAACTTCAAAAAGTCCAGTACAATTCTGTCAAAGATGATATTCAATATTTTCCAATAAACTAACTATGACTGACAGCTCTGAAACTGTAATGTGGCCAGAGAACCTTTTGCTAGTTTAGCGTTCACATAAGGGTTGCAAAACAGTCACACATAAGCTGCCCACCACTGGGAAAACATTACATATAGTTATGAAGGATGCAATCAATGGCTGGAAAAAGACTAATTTTTGAGATAGAAATTTCTGTGCTCTAAGCAACAAAAGGGAAATGGAATTAATTTCCATTAAACCTCACTGACATCAGCAAAGGAAACAAAACATTGCAGCATTTCTATGACAAGACAATGCACTAGCTTATTTTTGTTTGTGTAGTTAAATAGCTAAATGTATACCGAGCAAACTTGAATTACCTAAAGGGACAAATAAATTAAGATGACATATTATCATTTAAAATACTGTCCTCAGCCTTAGAGATGAATCTTACTGATCGGGTTCATGAACAGCTTTATTGCTTTATGCAAGGCTTCAGTCATCTTTGTGTGACTTTTCAGCCTGCTGTGCTGTGCCAACATAACACCTCAGCTAGAGTGCGATAACTCCCTAAGGCAGTGAGACCTCTAAGATAATTACAGCAGAAGATGTTGAGCTTCTACACAAGAACAAAAGACATTCCACTAATCTTAGCTTTATGACAGCATTTGCTGGAAGATTCCTACTGACATGATATAATAATTAATGCATGTTTAATACATTATTTCAGATGTAATGTTATGTATTCACAAGAATAATGGCTGAAAGACCTGAGCAATTTTCTCAATAAATCAAATAATCTGTGGGGATTTGTAGGATTTTGGTGCCACTGTGGAAATTAAAAGTTATGGATATGTCAGGAATATCTAAAAAAAAAAAAAAAAAAAAAAAAACTTGTCAGCTTTTCATTGTAGGAAATATTTTCAGCTAATTCTGCAGGTGAAGTACAAAGTTCTTCATCTCATGTTCCACATACCACTGTTCGGGTGATCGCTTTACTTCAAACTCTTTATACTTTGCTTTGTAATCTTGTATGTGTACAGATTTGAAGACTAAGACTTTATCATTCATTGTTGATCACTTATCTCACAGAGGGAAGCTCAGCAGAGCTGGATCATCTGGATGTCGAGCAGAGGCGCCTGAAGTGAGGATTTGAAGGAAAGGATGAGGAGTAACGTGATTGGCAGGGGAATTGTGAAACTGCTGTAGTTGTATCATCCACTTGCTACCGAAGATTAATGGAGCTAAACAAGAAACCCTCGCAATTTAACGACAGAAACTGATGAAACACCATGAAGGCCAGTGGTGATGCTCGACTCTGAATTACTAATCAGACAGACTGAAGGTTTCACGTTCTTTTTAATACAAAGTAAGGCGTAAAGCTCTCTGTTTCACCCCTTACTTTTGGACTACAACTCCTAGTCCTGGCAGTTTGTGGTCTGCTTCTGTGCAACACCACATGCTGACAGAATAATCAGAAGAAACCAACAGAAAGCCAACAAGTATTGCACGAGTCGGCCACTGATGTTTTGATGAAAAGAACTTCTTTTTTTCCAGCAGGAACACGGATCACGACGCTGGAAGTTTTCCGAGCGTCATTATCTGTATTTAAAACACTAATTTGTTGAATTTAAAGCAGTTCTCACTATAAATACAGTGACATGATTTCCTTCCAACAAAACTAACAATGCAATCAATATTTCATAAGCACTTCCCAAGAAATCTGTGAAGGTTTCCTTCTACAGACTTTTGGGTAAGTCACTGTAATAGTGTAATAAACATTAAAGTGTAGAGAACATCTAATATTCAGCTTCCCCTCTGTATCCTCATCCCTGCAGGGCTGGCTTTTAAAAGTAGGATGGACTTCAAAAACAAAATGGAACCTCTCTTCTGAGGCCTAAATGAAATTTAAACTGTGATTCAAACATCAAAAAAGTTGAAATATGTGAATTGAATTGGATATAAGTCATTTCAAAGCTACATTGACACTAACGAGTCTCATGAAATGACATTGGTCAGTTTTATATTTCACACAGATTAGCAATCTCAAAATGTACACTCATTAGCTTTTCTGGAAGAGGGACGTCACTGAGCCATACAGTTGTTTGCTTAGGTCAAAGAATGAATCCAACATAAATATCAGGGGAAATAACATTTACGTAATTTTGGAGTGATTCTTTGACAACTTTTCCCCTCATTACCAACTTTAATTAAACATTATAATATCATTACATGATTCTCATTGCAAGACATTCCCAGCCTATTACTTTGTGTTTGTTATCCTGTCTTTGTCTTTTCTAATCCATTTATCTCCAGCTTAAACTTTTCTGTGATAATTACTATGCTGTGAAATATAACGGGATTTAGATTGCACTCTAACACCAAATGGTTTTCCTTTCTGCTGTCGTGTCGTGCAGTGCACAAATAATCACTTTGTAAACAATGTTCTTGACAAAAGAGCACAGACAAAAGAGGAAGAATGAGATGGGTAGGTCAATCAAACACATTGTTTTGAATAATGCAATTTCTTTGCCACATCATGCGACCAGGCAGTCGGGGTCCGACATGATGACAATAACCTCACTGCAGAGACAGGGGCTAGTGGCGAAGTAGGCAGCGCGTCAGTCTCATAATCTGAAGGTCGTGAGTTCAACCCTCACACGGGAACATGTTTTGAATTATGAAAATGTTTTCCACATCCTGAGTCCAGGCAGTCGAGGTCCGACACGATGACAAGAACCTCATAGTAAAGAAACGGGCTAGTGGCGCAATGGATAATGCGTCTGCTACGGATAACAAGATTGTAGACTCGACTGATGGCTAGCTCAAGCAGCCTTTTTGTCGTCCACAATAGCCACTTTCCCTTTCAACGTACTTGGCATAATCTCTGTCCTCAGGAGAGGATCATGTTTAAGATGCCAGGGCCTCGTTGGCGCAGCAGGCAGCGCGTCAGTCTCATAATCTGAAGGTCGTGAGTTCAACCCTCACACAGGGCACATGTTTTGAATGATGCAAATGTTTTCCTCATCCTGCGACCAGGCAGTTGAGGTCCGACACGATGACAACAATCTCATTGTAAAGAAACGGGCTAGAGGCGCAATGGATAACGCGTCTAACTACGGATGAGAAGATTCTAGGTTCGACTCCTGGCTAGCTCAAGCAAACTGTTCTTCTGTTGTCCACAATAAACACTTTCCCATTCAACGTACTTGGCACAATCTCTATCCTCCTGAGAGGATCGCTTTGAAAATCTCAAAACCTCATTGGCGCAGCATGTCAGTCTCATAATCTGAAGGTCGTGAGTTCCCTCACACAGGACATATATTTTGAATGATGCAAATGTTTTCCACATCCTGCAACCATGCATTCCAGGTCCGAAACGATGACAAGTACCTCTTTGTAAAGAAACAGGCTAGTGGCGGACTGTATAACCTGTCTGACTACGAATCAGAAGAGTCTGAGTTCAACTCCTGGCTACCTCAAGCACACATTTCTTCTGTCGTCAACAATAGCCACTTTCCCTTTCAACGTACTTGGCATAATCTCTGTCCTCAGGAGAGGATCATGTTGAAACTGCTAGTGCCTCGTTGGCGCAGCAGGCAGCGCGTCAGTCTCATAATCTGAAGGTCGTGAGTTCAACCCTCACACGGGGCACATGTTTTGAATGATGCAAATGTTTTCCACATCCTGCGACCAGGCAGTTGAGGTCCGACACGATGACAAGAATCTCACTGTAAAGAAACGGGCTAGTGGCGCAATGAATAACGCGTCTGACTACGGATCAGAAGATTCTAGGTTCGACTCCTGGCTAGCTCAATTAAACTTTTCTTCTGTGGTCCACAATAACCACTTTTCCTTTCAACGACCTCAGCATAATCTCTGTCCTGCTGAGAGGATCACTTTGAAATTCTCAAAACCTTGTTGGCGCAGCGGTCAGCGTGTCAGTCTCACAATCTGTAGGTCGTGAGTTCAACCCTCACACAGGGCACATGTTTTGAATGATGCAAATGTTTTCCACATCCTGCGACCAGGCATTTGAGGTCCGACACGATGACAACAATCTCATTGTAAAGAAATGGGCTAGTGGCGCAGTGGATAACGCGTCCGACTACGGATCAGAAGATTCTAGGTTCGACTCCTGGCTAGCTCAATCAAACTTTTCTTCTGTTGTCAACAATAACCACTTTCCCATTCAACGTACTCGGCATAATCTCTGTCCTCCAGAGAGGATCACGTTTAAGATGCCAGGGCCTCGTTGGCGCAGCTGGTAGCGCGTCAGTCTCATAATCTGAAGGTCGTGAGTTCAACCCTCACACGGGGCACATGTTTTGAATGATGCAAATGTTTCAGGCAGTTGAGGTCCGACACGATGAGAACAATCTCATTGTAAAGAAACGGGCTAGTGGCGCAATGGATAACGCGTCTGACTACGGATCAGAAGATTCTAGGTTCGAATCCTGGCTAGCTCAATCAGACTTTCTTGTCGTCCACAATATGTGTTTCCCTTCAACGACCTCGGCATAATCTCTGTCCTCCTGAGAGGATCACTTTGAAAATATCAAAACCTTGTTGGCGCAGTGCACAGCTTGTCAGTCTCATAATCTGTAGGTCGTGAGTTCAATCCTCACACGGGGCACATGTTTTGAATGATGCAAATGTTTTCCACATACTGCGACCAGGCAGTTGAGGTCCGACACGATTACAGGAACCTCATTATAAAGAATTGGGCTAGTGGCGCAATGGATAAGGCGTCTGACTACGGATCAGAAGATTCTAGGTTCGACTCCTGGCTAGCTCAATCAAACTTTTCTTATGTCGTCAACAATAACCACTTTCCCATTCAACGTACTCGGCATAATCTCTGTCCTCCAGAGAGGATCACATTTAAGATGCCAGGGCCTCGTTGGCGCAGCAGGCAGAGCGTCAGTCTCATAATCTGAAGGTCGTGAGTTCAACCCTCACACGGGGCACATGTTTTGAATGATGCAAATGATTTCCACATTCTGCAATCAGGCAGTTGAGGTCTGACACAATGACAACAATCTCATTGCTAAGAAATGGGCTAGTGGCGCAATGGATAACGCGTCTGAATACGGATCAGAAGATTCTAGGTTTGACTCCTGGCTAGCTCAAGCAAACTTTTCTTCTGTCGTCCACAATTGCCACTTTCCCTTTCAACGTACTCGGCATAATCTGTCCTCCGGAGAGGATCACATTGAAAATTCCAGGGCCTCGTTGGCGCAGCAGTCAGCGCGTCAGTCTCATAATCTGAAGGTCGTGAGTTCAACCCTCACACGGGGCACATGTTTTGAATGATGCAAATGTTTTCCACATCCTGCGACCAGGCAGTTGAGGTCCGACACGATGACAACAATCTCATTGTAAAGAAACGGGCTAGTGGTGCAATGGATAACGCGTCTGACTACGGATCAGAAGATTCTAGGTTCGACTCCTGGCTAGCTCAATCAAACTTTTCTTATGTCGTCAACAATAACCACTTTCCCTTTCAACGACCTCAGCATAATCTCTGTCCTCCTGAGAGGATCACTTTGAAAATCTCAAAACCTTGTTGGCGCAGCGGTCAACGTGTCAGTCTCACAATCTGTAGGTCGTTAGTTCAATTCTCACACGGGGCACATTTTTGAATGATGCAAATGTTTTCCACATCCTGCGACCAGGCATTTGAGGTCCGACACGATGACAACTATCTCATTGTAAAGAAATGGGCTATTGGCGCAGTGGATAACGGTCTGACTATGGATCAGAAGATTCTAGGTTCGACTCCTGGCTAGCTCAATCAAACTTTTCTTATGTCGTCAACAATAACCACTTTCCCATTCAACGTACTCGGCATAATCTCTGTCCTCCAGAGAGGATCACGTTAAGATCCCATGGCCTCGTTGACGCAGCAGGCAGCGCGTCAGTCTCATAATCTGAAGGTCGTGAGTTCAATCCTCACACGGGGCACATGTTTTGAATGATGCAAATGTTTCAGGCAGTTGAGGTCCGACACGATGAGAACAATCTCATTGTAAAGAAAACGGGCTAGTGGCGCAATGGATAACGCGTCTGACTACGGATCAGAAGATTCTAGGTTCGAATCCTGGCTAGCTCAATCAGACTTTCTTGTCGTCCACAATATGTGTTTCCCCTTCAACGACCTCGGCATAATCTCTGTCCTCCTGAGAGGATCACTTTGAAAATATCAAAACCTTGTTGGCGCAGTGCACAGCTTGTCAGTCTCATAATCTGTAGGTCGTGAGTTCAATCCTCACACGGGGCACATGTTTTGAATGATGCAAATGTTTTCCACATACTGCGACCAGGCAGTTGAGGTCCGACACGATTACAAGAACCTCATTATAAAGAATTGGGCTAGTGGCGCAATGGATAAGACGTCTGACTACGGATCAGAAGATACTAGGTTCGACTCCTGGCTAGCTCAAGCAAACTTTTCTTCTGTCGTCCACAATAACCACTTTCCCTTTCAACGTACTCGGCATAATCTCTGTCCTCCAGAGAGGATCACGTTTAAGATGCCAGGGCCTCGTTGGCGCAGCAGGCAGCGCGTCAGTCTCATAATCTGAAGGTCTTGAGTTCAACCCTCACACGGGGCACATGTTTTGAATGATGCAAATGTTTTCCACATTCTGCAATCAGGCAGTTGAGGTCTGACACAATGACAACAATCTCATTGCTAAGAAACGGGCTAGTGGTGCAATGCATAACGCGTCTGAATACGGATCAGAAGATTCTAGGTTTGACTCCTGGCTAGCTCAAGCAAACTTTTCTTCTGTGGTCCACAATTTCCACTATCCCTTTCAACGTACTCGGCATAATCTGTCCTCCGGAGAGGATCACATTGAAAATTCCAGGGCCTCGTTGGCGCAGCAGTCAGCGCGTCAGTCTCATAATCTGAAGGTCGTGAGTTCAACCCTCACACGGGGCACATGTTTTGAATGATGCAAATGTTTTCCACATCCTGCAATCAGGCAGTTGAGGTCTGACACGATGACAAGAATCTCACTGTAAAGAAACGGGCTAGTGGCGCAATGGATAACGCGTCTGACTACGGATCAGAAGATTCTAGGTTCGACTCCTGGCTAGCTCAAGCAAACTTTTCTTCTGTCGTCCACTATAGCCACTTTTCCATTCAACAACCTCAGCATAATCTCTGTCCTCCTGAGAGGATCACTTTGAAATTCTCAAAACCTTGTTGGCGCAGCGGTCAGCGTGTCAGTCTCACAATCTGTAGGTCGTGAGTTCACCCCTAACACAGGGCACATGTTTTGAATGATGCAAATGTTTTCCACATCCTGCGACCAGGCAGTTGAGGTCCGACACGATGACAACAATCACATTGTAAAGAAACGGGCTAGTGGCGCAATGGATAATGCGTCTAACTACGGATGAGAATATTCTAGGTTTGACTCCTGGCTACCTCAAGCAAACTGTTCTTCTGTTGTCCACAATAAACACTTTCCCATTCAACGTACTTGGCACAATCTCTATCCTCCAGAGAGGATCACGTTTAAGATGCCAGGGCCTCGTTGGCGCAGCAGGCAGCGCGTCAGTCTCATAATCTGAAGGTCGTGAGTTCAACCCTCACACAGGGCACATGTTTTGAATGATGCAAATGTTTCAGGCAGTTGAGGTCCGACACGATGAGAAGAATCTCATTGTAAAGAAACGGGCTAGTGGCGCAATGGATAACGCGTCTGACTACGGATCAGAAGATTCTAGGTTCGAATCCTGGCTAGCTCAATCAGACTTTCTTGTCGTCCACAATATGTGTTTCCCCTTCAACGACCTCGGCATAATCTCTGTCCTCCTGAGAGGATCACTTTGAAAATACCAAAAGCTTGTTGGCGCAGTGCACAGCGTGTCAGTCTCATAATCTGTAGGTCGTGAGTTCAATCCTCACACGGGGCACATGTTTTGAATGATGCAAATGTTTTCCACATCCTGCGACCAGGCAGTTGAGGTCCGACACGATTACAAGAACCTCGTTATAAAGAAATGGGCTAGTGGTGCAATGGATAAAGTGTCTGAATACGGATCAGAAGATTCTAGGTTCGACTCCTGGCTAGCTCAAGCAAACTTTTCTTCTGTCGTCCACAATAACCACTTTCCCTTTCAACGTACTCGGCATAATCTCTGTCCTCCAGAGAGGATCACGTTTAAGATGCCAGGGCCTTGTTGTCGCAGCAGGCAGCGCATCAGTCTCATAATCTGAAGGTCGTGAGTTCAACCCTCACACGGGGCACATGTTTTGAATGATGCAAATGTTTTCCACATCCTGCAATCAGGCAGTTGAGGTCTGACACGATGACAAGAATCTCACTGTAAAGAAACGGGCTAGTGGCGCAATGGATAACGCGTCTGACTACGGATCAGAATATTCTGGGTTCGAATCCTGGCTAGCTCAATCATACTTTCTTGTCGTCCACAATATGTGTTTCCCCTTCAACGACCTCGGCATAATCTCTGTCCTCCTTAGAGGATCACTTTGAAAATATCAAAACCTTGTTGGAACTGTGTGCAGAGTGTCAGTCTCATAATCTGTAGGTCGTAAGTTCAAGCCTAACACGGGGCACATGTTTTGAATGATGAAAATGTTTTCCACATCCTGCGACCAGGCAGTTGAGGTCCGACATGATGACAAGAATCATCATAATCTATGTCCTCCGGAGAGGATCACGTTTAAAATGCCAGGGCCTCGTTGGCGTAGCAGGCAGGGCATCAGTCTCATAATCTGAAGGACTTGAGTTCAGCCCTCACACAAGGCACATGTTTTGATTTATACAATTATTTGCGACCAGGCATTCATGCAATAAAGTTTTCTTCTGTCGTCCGCAGCAAAGGCAAAACCTCTGGTTGCAGACTGAGGCACCCTGAATGGCCTGCACTGAAACAACTTTTGTTTTTTACAGTGAAAATATAGTCAGATTCTTGTTCCTTACGTCAAAAGTGGGTCCTCGAGGGCTG